ATAAGCTGTTATTGACCTTTTTATCCAGAAAGTGGGACTCTAAATTTGAAAAATGGGAGAAAATAGGTGAAACACTACATGAGAAGACACGAACTTCTATTCCTGTGCTTCAAACTTGGTTTCTTTGTACAGATGCAATAGATAAAACCTCTGTTTATCAACCTGCCTGCTCTTCCTTCTGTGCCTGGCTCTGTGACCCTTAAGTCCCCTACCGCTCCCCCTGCAGCAGTGGCACAGCCCTAGCAACAACACCCTGCCTGGAGCTCTTCTGGAGCCTCCCACGCATGTTGCATGCGATTCTTTAACTCTCTGCCATTGCCTCCGTGGCCAGCTATGGCAGCGCCCTACCCCCAGCTAGATCCCAGTTAACTGTGTGTTTGGGACAAGCTGTGGAGGAGGGGGAATCTCAATAACTTACCTGTCTGTCCATTAAGATAAATTCTGCTAACCAATCAAAATATGAACAGTCACCTCTTGCTATATTTAAAGAATTACAACTTTTAAATGAAAGGGGAAATACAGGTTTACTCTACTGTTACTGGAGCATGTTTATCAGTTACTGAAAGTAGACCTAAATTAACTCTTTGTTTAAATGAGCAGTCAATTGCAGGGTTATTGGACACAAATACTAATGTCATGGCAATAAATACTTTTATGGTATCGCTTTATGCATGGCCTCAAGAGGCCACCCCGGTCTGGGGCAAAGGAACCAAAAATAAACAAATGTTCAAAAACTCCCTGTGGCTACCATGCTCTATACTTTCCAATCCACAACAAATCATTACTTATACTCAACCATATGTGGAAACTGTTACAAGATTTACAGATTTAAAACAAAAAGAAAAAAGAACTCTCCATAAAGTATGTAAACTACAATACCATGCTTTAAGCAAATTATAACAGAAAAGAAAAAAAATGATTACAACATTTTTTACTTACCTTTTAACTTCTGCTGGTTTCTAACTTTCCTAGCCTTATATTTAAAATGTAAATTTCAAGGCCAACAAGATTTACTAGACTTATGAAAAACCAGTTAAGACAAAAGGAAAAAAGTGTCTCTTTTAAATTCTAACTGCTTGGCCGGCTGTCTTATCTGTGTTCAGCTGGCTTTCTTGACTAGTTCCTCCCTAATGTTATAGCACAGTATCATAAAATCATAAAATGCCCTATAATCCTATCGGACAGGCTTTGGTTAAACAAGCACATTGTACTCTTAAAATTTGCCTTTTAATAAAGAAACAAAAAGGGGGAATCTAGCCTCTCTCATAGAAATAATGCTTTAAATATTGTTTTATTTTCAGTTTATGCACTCAACATACAGTTCAAAGTTTATACTCACAATTGGGCATCTGCTTTGGATAGACATTTTATTCCCAAACAGCCATTACCAAAAATTTATGTAAAATATAGGTTTCCACCATACCCAGGATGACAGGACCCTATGCCTCTGATCACATGGGGAAGAAGAGATGGCTATGCTCACACCAACAGGTCCAGTTTGGATTCCAGCTCCATGCAGGAGACCTGTCAGTTATGAATGGACATTAGGGACTTCACAACCTGATCCCCAAGTTTCATTTGATTGTGGATGAGGAGAACCCACCAAACAAAAGGACAATGATCACTCTCCTTGAAAGAGAAGGTACACTGAAAGACGATCTCTAGCTACTAGAATTCCAGTGACTTGGGGAGATATAAAATCATTAACAGCATCAGCTCAACAACTTTTGGCTCAAATGGGGTTAAAATGTACCCCAGAAAACTTAATTACTGCTTTGATTGCTAAACTCACACAGAACTCTGTAAATGCTTTGGTCTTAACAATAGTGTTGTTCTGTTGTTGTACCCCAGCTGTGGAAATTCAGTACAGCCAGACTCCTTCACTTCTAAAACTCATTACAATATCTGGGTTTGCTTGTCTGAAATTGTTGTATACCGACAACAGTGTCTCATGGTACCCATGTTGTCTTAGCAGACTGTGTTCTTACCTTCCCCACAGGATTTCATAGGCCACCATCCTACACAACGTATCCATAAGGTCTATTCCCCTTGATAAAAACTGTGATGATCCACTAAACCTTCTCTCTAAGGCAACATTTGACGCTTTGACATTTTCCTTAGCGGACATCCCTGGACTAGCTGTCAGGGCTTACAAAACACTATAAAACTGGACTGTGCTATGGTAAATAATATTAATCATACCTCTATGGCAATTAACCTGCTTCATAAGAAAAACAAGATTGTCAAACCATACTTGACAATTGGGCTGCAATTAATCATCTGCTAATATTACATCATAAAGGATGTCAGGAGTTTAATAATATGTGTTGCTTTAACTTAAGTGATAACAGTGATTTTATTTCAAAGGAGTTAGATTACTTTAATGATATCATTGATAAGGTCTGACAAGATGATGGACGTTTAGACTTATGGGATTGGTTAACTGTGGTTACCCAACTTTATTGGGTCAAACAATTACTTATAGGTGGATGTTTACTAATGCTGGGATTGTTATGTTGTGCTTGCTGTTGTCAATACCTACCCTATTTTTTTGCCTCTATCAGCATTAAGAAGAAAACAAAAATTATTCATCCAAAAGGCCTTAAAAAACAAGAAAGGGGAGCTGTAGGGGTTCTGTGTTTGGGATTGGGGTCCCTGATGACTTCAGGGCTATGGCAGGCTTGGTGCTTGGGAAAGTTTCTGTGCAAAGGTGTAAGATGCCCGGTTGGAATGGCAATGCCCTCCATGCTACAGTCTTATCAGCTTTGACCTTAATCTTAGGCACATAGCTCCCGGGAGTAAAGGAACTTGCTTGCTTGATAACTACAGTGTCTCACCAAGCTCCCGTGCTCCTGGAGCTGCCTGCCTAACAGTAACTTCAGACAATGGACCTTCTTGAGAGCTGCACAAAGCTCCAACATTGCATATTGTAACTGTGAAATGTCACTGCAGAACAAGCAACCTTCCTGATACTCTAAACAGTAACGTGGTTATGGTACTAATGACCTATTATATTATTGTACTAACCTACTGTTATAAATAAACATGGCCTCTTGTACAAGGAGCCATCTGCCACCTTCCCTGCCTCTGCACTGTATCTCTCTGTCTACTCTTTATTATTATTCTTTACAGGGCTTAACTTAACTGTTGTCAACGTGAGTGGTCACTGTGGTCATGGAGATGCCTGGGAGGGAGGACTTTGACCCTTACGGTTGACCCTTATGCTTGTTTACTGTGTGCGCTGGTGTCCTGTCTAGGGAGAGGCATGGTGTGCTGCCTGTCTCTCATAGCAGAGGGCCTGGGTTTGGCATTCCCCCGGGGTGGCTGGGATTCAGAATTGAGCAGGGAGTGAGGGCAACTTCAGAGTGGGTTTGTCACTGAGTGAGTACAGCAGTTTCCCACGGGTTCACGTCTAAGCAAATGAAAGATAAATACGGGGTGTTTACCATCCTCCTTTCCTCTTTTAGCAATTATAATATCGAATATTAAATTCTTGCTTCCTGCTGAGGGTCTGGCATTTCATGAGAGAGACTTTAACAAGGTGGTTGAGACTCTGTGGACATTTAAGAAATCAAGAATTGTTTGAGAAACGGGCAGTCTGCCTGACAGCAGGAGCAGGCGAACATTTCTCCAGTGTTCGGATCATGGAACTTCAGCTGTTGCAGTGTGTGCACCGCAGGATTCTGCAGCCGATTTTGGGTGAAAATAATCATGTGCAGCCTGAGTCAGCGTGTGGACAGCCTCATGCCTGCTCTGCACCTGCCCATCTGTCTGACTCTGTGCTGCCCTCTTCTCCAGCTCCTTTCTGTCCCTGCCCTGTGACCGCCTTACTCTCAGCATGCTTGGAACCTATCTCACACTTAGGTCTGACCCCTTGGCTTCTCCTCGCTGTCCCCTTGCCCTGGGAGCCACCCCTTCCTTCTCTCCTCTTCCCTGAACTCAGGCCCCTCTGCAACAAGGCTGTGCCCGACTGTGCCACGCCCAGCCCTCTCCCTTCTCTGCTCTCTGCTGGGCTTCATGTCCCCATCGCCAGCCACACTCATCTCCCATGAATTGTCTTGTGTCTGTTTCAGTGCGGTGAGGCCAGGGGCTTATCTGTCTTGTTCACAGGAAGAGTCTTCATCCTTAGTGGTGAAGAACTCAGTGACTATGGGGTGAGTGAAAGATTGTCCAAGCATCATGACATGACATACCTCATAGGACTCGTTGCCCTTTATTTTCTAAAACAAAAAATTGGATAGAGTTTGCTTTTCCTCAAGTCTGCACAGGTGGATCTCCAAAGTCTGTGGTCCTTGTGGGGGAAGGGGTGCCAATTGATCCTCCAGTCAAGCCTTCCTCCTGTGTCCTCTGCCGGATCCCAGCAGTATGTGAATACGAGCAGGAATAGGGCCTGGGGCATGCATTTTATTAATGGGGCAAATGCCCAGTAACCAACAACATAGGGGTTTGGAAAAACTAGATTTCAAGCAACCTGGATTCAAGAATGTCTAATAGACCCCCTCTCTCCAATTCAAAGTAGAGTAGGTGTGAAGCAAGAAGCGGGGGAGAACTTGGGCTATCTCAGCAGTCTGTGAGCCGCCATGGAAAGAGGAAACGGACTCATTTAATTCAAGCACTGAAGAGAGCTCTCCTTTTAGGATGTGACCCCATGACCCGGTGGAGGGAGGCACTGAAGGGATTGCTCCCCCCACTCCCTCAGTTGGGAACCCAGCAGCACCCTGTCCATGGGAAAGGGGAGGTCTGCAGTACCCCCCACCATTGTGATCGTGCTTGTGAGTGAATACTAGAAGGAGAGCTCCTCTGGACCACAGAGCCGCCGTAGCACTGGGCGTTTCTGAGAGTGGCTAGACACTGCCACCTTGGAACCTGGGCCCAATGCTAGCATGGTAAAGGACCTGCTCACACAGGTCCACAGAAAGAACCTCACGTCCTGCCCTTGACAGACTCGGTGGGGTGGATCCTGGCCTGAACTGGGAACTCAGGAGCCTCTTCCGTTTCAGGTCCGGGGGAGTAAGGGGGAGGTGCTGTACATCCTGGATGCCACCAACCCGAGACACTCCAACTGGCTGCGCTTCGTGCATGAGGCACCCTCACAAGAGCAGAAGAACTTGGCAGCCATCCAGGTGAGCACGCTGCTTTGTGTTTGTGAGTTAGCTTTAACTGCACTCCCTGCTGGGCTCAGTCCCCAGGACCTGCTTCAGATAACAGTAACTAAATCAGAGGACAGAGCCAGTGGGAGCACTTGTGTACTACCGTGGAGATTTACCATAGCAATTGGCTCGCATGGCTCTGGAGGCTGAGAGTCCAAGATCTGTAGAGCCATGTCTCAGTGTGAGTTCAAAGACTGGAAGCTCCTACAGATCAGGAAGCCTCTGCTCCCGTCCCAAGGCTGTCCAGCAGATTCTATCCTTGCGGTGGTGGTGGTTGGGGGGGTGTCTGACTGTGCTCTGTTCAGCACTTCCCTTGATTGGAGGAGGCCCACCCACATAATGGAGGTCAATACACTTTACTCACATACACAGATTTTAAATGTTAATGTCCTGTAAAACCATGCTTCCAAAAACACCCAACTAACCGTGACCCAGGACCCAGCTGAGTGGACACCTAAGAGAAACCGTCACAGGTAGGAAACATGTTGTTTGGAATCCTTTCCCTGGATCCTAATGTACCACTGCCCATAATGTAAGGTTCTGTTACCTGGGGTGGTGGGGGAGTGGGATTCATAAATGGAAATTGAGACAAGAAAAAATTCAGGCATCAAAGGGCCCTGTCATCACAGGGCGCTGCCCAGAGGACTGAGAGTGTAAGAAAAGCTTACATTCCGGGGGAGCTGATTTTCTGCGTGGCCATGCCTAGCCTGTGGGGTCCACAGTGGAGGTGAAGCTGCAGCTGGTGCAAGCAGGAAGGAAAGGGGCAGTGGGTGCACCAGAATGTGAGCGTCCACCAGGTGGTCCCTGGCTCCCGCTCTGGTAGGTGGCTGAGGACAGGGTCAGAGCTGTGAGAGGGTGCACACAGTCAGGTTCTGACGCAAAGGGAGCACAGTCCCTGGGAATGTTCCGTCTCCTACTGTCTTTATCTAGCCAGTCTTTTCACTGCAATAGTGTGATTCCTCTTGGTAATAGGGTGATTCCTCTCTTTTTGTGAATAGTGAGTCCTTATCAAGCAGCTAAATTGGGATGGAAAATAGGATCTTTGGTAAGCAGATATATAGGCCATTTTCACATTATTCACAGTGTATATCAATCCAGCCTCAGATTAAACTGATTACTTTTTCTTTATGTGTGGGCATTAATTTTTTTTTCAAATTTATTTTGTTTTCCTGATTTCCTGAGGCCAAGTCTTGTCCTGGGCTCTTCAGTTATGCTGTAGTTTAACTTACAGACCCAGTTCTTCTTGGTACATGTTACTGTTATCAACTTTGCCTACAGAACATGAAACGTTCTTTTAGCCAAGCTATTGTTTTGGCAGGTTCTTCATTATCGCATTTGTAGAGAATGTCATTTAAATTATTTTCTTCCTTGCTGAGAAAGGTATTGAGCTTCTTCCAAATTCCTTCACACTGGCTGTTCCTCCCTTAGGGTCAGTACTCTTCCCACTGCCTAGACTCCTGCAAGGGGCCCTGGTCAGGGGCCCCTGAGCCACACCTGGGGACACTTGCTGTTTCAGTGGTCATGTCTTCTGAGAGTTGACAGTGCTCCTGCTCACTAGGTGCCTTCGGTGCAGCACTGCCCTTCCTCTGTGTCCACCGTGCGTCTTTGCTGAAAGAACAAGTGTCCACAGGGATGACAGCTGTGGCTTAGGGCTCCTGCAGCATCAGTGCCTGAGCAGAGGCCAGAGCAGGGCCAGAGCTCCGTGAAGTTTCACTCTTGGACTCTAAATGTGTTGGAATCTAAATGTGCTGAGGCACTGCGAGGGTGTGTGGTGCTCAGGTGGGATGGCGGCTGAGATTGTAACATTGTTTGCCCTTTGGTAGCAAGGGATTAAGTGCACTGTTGCCATGGTTTCTGTCATGGAACTCAAGAGGGACCTTTGTCAGCACCCATGAGGTAGCACAGTAGCTGGAGCAGTGGATTGCTGAGGGTTCAAGATCACATTTGAGCTAGGGCCAAAGAGCATGACAGCTGGGTCATAGCAACGTGAGTCTCCTAATTGGATGGGACAGTCTCCCGAGGATCCTGTTCCAGGAACACTGAGTTGGTAAGGGAAGATTGCAGTCTTTCCTGCATTATATTATGAATCACTTGCATTCCAAATTGCATCTGAAATTTGGGGTATTCAGGAAATTTTTTATTTGAGCTGTCTGTCCCGGGAGTGGAGTAAATGAGAAACATTTGTGGCTATGTGGCTGGTTTGGTGGAAAACTTCAATACTTGATCCAGTTTTTTTGGCTGAGGGATTAAGAATTTGAGGTCTGTCTTGGCAGAGGATCGCAGCTCCTTCTTGGAGATGCGATCATGTTTCTAGTTTTGCAATTTATTTGATTTTGGAAAATTTGTTTTGGAAATGATGATTTGAGTGTATGAATTGCAGAAAAAGTATCCTGTAAGCAAACAATTCCTCCCACTTGCACACTTTCCTGAACAATCAGTCGAACTGTATGTTCATGCTTCTGGAAAGTTTCCAACTGTGAGAGAAAAACCTAAATATGAAAGATGCAGCTTAAAACGAACCCAAAGTATGCTTAAGCTCTGTAAGATGTGGGTGATTCTCTTTAAGTGTTAATTTTGTTTCACTAAAGGAAAAAAAAATGTACACGTGGTATTTAAAAAAATCATTTGATTTAGTGTTTGGTATTCTCTTAAATTTTTTTTGACAGACAATTATTTAGTTAATGCTATTCAGTTAAAGTTACTGAATTATGCTATTTAGAAATAAATAAAACTCTGAATTGTCTGGAAATTTCAGAGGTGGAGGGTTACCTGTCAGGTTCCTAGGGACACATTTCCTGGCGTGGCCTTCCTGGGCCTCTGCTGTCCTTCACCAGCCTAACTGAAAGGCAGCTTGGCCCCAGGAGCGTGTGTGTGTGTGTGTGTGTGTGTGGGGCGGGGGGACGTGACAGGACGTGACGGGGAGCGTGGGGTAGGGGTGACGGGGAGCGTGGGGTAGGGGTGACGGGGAGCGTGGGGGGGACGTGACAGGACGTGACCGGGAGCATGGGGTAGGGGTGACGGGGAGCGTGGGGTAGGGGTGACGGGGAGCGTGGGGGGACGTGACAGGACGTGACGGGGAGCGTGGGGGGGACGTGATAGGAGGTGACCTGGAGTGTGGGGTAGGGGTGACGGGAGTGTGGGGGGCTGACGGAAGGACGTG